ACTTGGATCTGTTTTGTTTTTTAATAGACATGAACGTATAGACTATTAAAACTGATCTGATATCGGTGGAAGTTCTAGATCTTGCATGAGTAGGTGAAAGATTAATTACTGGATTTATTGATTTAATTGGAACGCCGGTGTGAAGTTTTAATCGCACTTTCATTGCTTTTGAAATATTCTTAAGTGGATTAAGACCTGATTCATTATGTAAATTATAAGCAAAGAAGAACACGGCCGGTTGCTATACGCCATTGACTTGTTCCTATTTTGCAGAGAGCAACAGTGACACGCGTTATTAGATGGCGCTGAACAAACTCCAGTTTTGTGTACGATATTTCTATTTGGCGTAGAAGAATCGGTATGATATAATCCTCCAAATTGATATACCTACCGTGGGTTATTTCTTTAATTTAACTATGAGTGTAAATTAATCCAGTTTAAATAATTAAAATTATATTCATGTTTGGTTTTTTTTTAAATAATTTGTTTTTGTTTATTTAATATATATATATATATATAGAGCATGAATTTCTCAATTAATGCAGTTGAATTTTTTTATTTTTATTTTTTTTGTGCTTGTCAATAAATTAAAAATACTTCAAATTTAAGCACAAATTCTTCTATATATTATCAGTTTAAGTGTTTAACTAAAATTGACTAAGATTTGTCAATTATATATATTTAATTTTTTTTGTTTCACATTACTTCTGTAAATGATGTATCTAGAATCAAATTCTTGCTTTTCTAATATTCAAACATGATTATAAAATAATATTTATATTCACTTTTAATTTAATTAAAAGTATATATAAATATAAATAAAATTATTCAAATTCAATAAAACAATAATGTTCTTTAAGATAATTTTCAAATTAAGTGGTTATGTAACTGAAAATTCGAGTAATTAAAATCTAAAAAATGTAATTAAAAAAGGTTAACAATATAAACTTCTTGGGTAAACTATACGTTTAGTAACTAAATTTTATTCTCATTCCTATTTTACTAATTTTACTTTCAATTGTTTTAATTTATTCATTGAATTTTATAGATTGATTTTTTTGTTTATTATGTCGTTAAATAATTAACGATTACCGTATTTTAGTCGAAATGACAACTTACATCAAAATGACATCATTTTGATGTAAGTTTTCATGCATTAAATTTGTTTAATTATTGAACGGGTGAGTGACCAAATAAAATTAATTTATAAAATTTAGTGAGTAAATTGAAAAATATTAAAGTACAGTGAGTGAAATATGATATAATAAAGTTTAGTTACCAAACGTGTAATTTACCCAAACTTATTTTAACACATTACAATTTATTTTTCTCGAGTTGTTCGAACTAGGGCATACGTCAGTATCAGATATAGCTAAATAAAAAATTTCTTACTTTCATTGAGCACCGTCTATTTTTAAGACAGCTGAGATCCCTCGCTTTCACAAAACAAAGTAGAGAAGGGGGAAAGTGAGGAGGCCTGAGGAGGTCTCCGGCTGCCGTGTATTTGGTAAGATCAAAAAGCAGAGATTAAGTTATCTGTTTATCATCAACTTACCGATGCCACGCATGCCGATGAAGTCCTCGAGTTTCCTCTCTCTCCGGGCTTCTCTCTCGACGCCAACCAGATCTACGATTGTTTCCTGAAGAAAGGGAGAGAGAGTTATCGGGAATTTCTGGAAGTGGGAGGGCTGGAAAGATTTTCTTTTCTCCTTAATTTTTCCGGGAAAATTTAAAATCAAGAGATGGAAAGTAAAATCTTTTCTACTCCCATTCCACTTCTTTCTCTCCATTTTCTTACTTTTTTCCTCCCATCTTTAACTGATCCAAGCATTTTGTAAGTTAGATCGGTAAATTTTACCTGATTTTCGTGTAGATCTGAATCCGGTTTGGTTAGTTTCTCTTTTGGTTTCTTAAATCTGATTGATAATTTCTTTAGCTGTGTATTAGATCTAAAAGTAGAAGCTAATCAGTAAAGTAATATTGTATCACTGCAATTGTAGATCTGGTCTTTTATAAGTCAGATTAACATAACTACCAGCAACACTCTCGAAGGCACGGTGCATCAGCATTGCATTTCAGTCGTTCGTCCTGTGGTTTCATTTAGCGAAACATCACGACCACACAAGCTTACCGTCCAGCCATTTCTACCAAAGACGATCCAGTAAAAGTTAGAATATGAGCTAGTGGATCATGAGTTTAGCAGTTTTCGATTTTTTATTTGAAAATCTTTCTACTTATGCACAACTAACCATTGTTTTGAAAATCGGGTTGGATTGACCGGTTTAATTGGGAATTGTTGCCTGATCCGATCCATTATATTTTTGTTGAATCGGTACTAGTGAACCGTTTTAAACCGTTTGAACCGGACCGTGAATCAATTCAACTTAAATTTTTTTATATTTTTATTTAAATTTTATTTAAATTTTTAAATAATTATGACGTCGTCTGGTTTTTACGATCAGTCTGACCGATTGAATCAATAAATCGGTAGCACGATCGATTCTTTTACCGGTCCGATTGTGAAAATCATGCAACTAACATATTTCGTTCTATTATTCCATTTTAAAAAAAATATATCTAAAATCTAATAGAATTTCATAGAGATAATAGAAAGGCTTAATGCCTAAATAAGTATTATAATATTACCTCTTAGATACTTTACCTTTAAATTTTACCGATATAATATTTTTTTAATAGATCGAAGGTATGTATGATGAAGCGCACTTTTAAGAGGAATTGTTAACGTTAAATTACGTGGACAGGCGTGTTTTTAATTTATTTTTGTCACATCAAATAAAAAAATAAATATAAGTAGATTCATTATATATAGAGATTAAAAAATTAAAGTATATATCTTTTAATATTTATCCTACATTGTTAATAAACATAAAACATATTCTAAAATGTCTATATAAATTAATATCATTAAACTCTTCAATACATGAAATTAATATTATTAAATTATAATGTTAGTTTTTATAGTTTTATTTTTAAATTTTTTAAAGCATTAGCGAATTTAATGTTGTAAAAAAATCTTAGAATGTTTTCATCTTGAAACATGTCAATATTTTTCTTAGAAAACGTGTTTTATGGGATGCGTCTTCAATCTATCTAAGCAAAGGCACGATTTACAGAATGCGTCTTATTAGAAATAATGTTAGATCAATAAAATTTAGAAAAAATGTATCTAACCGATAATATTATAATATTTGAGTGATTTTGGGTAAAAATGTCTAAAATAGGTGTCTATTTTATTTCTATCTGGGTGTTAACGCTAATACTTTGTGTTGGGATGTGAAGGTCGTTAAATAAAAATGGTTATCCATTCATTTTCTAACATGCGAGTCCGATTATAATATTATTTATTTTTCTATAAGATTTGAATATGTAAAAATTAAAGTAAATAAAATATTAATATTAATATTTTAATCCTAATATATTAACCTAAAGAGAAGAATGGAGGCCAAAAGAGCCAGGCAAAGTTAACACGAACGCCGTCTTCGTTGCACCGTTCATCGTAGATCGTCCGGTCGTCCATCCACATCGGAATGCCTCTTTCTAGCTCTGATCTTCGTGGCCGTTACCTTTTTCTTGGCTTCAAAAATACAGAGGTTTAATCAACCAAGGCATTGCTTGTTTCAAAGAAAGGCTCCAGTTTTCGAAACCCAATTCGAAGCCTGTCCAGTTGTTCATTGGAGAAACCCATTACAGCAAAACCAACAACAACAACAACAAAGAAAACGAAAGACTTGAGCTGGTTGAAAGAGAAGGGGTGGAGTTTTACAGCAATGGGGGCTTTTACGAAGGCGAATTAATGAATATTTAGGTATTAAAATTTAATGTTAATTTTTTATTTTTTTTTTTAAATATTTAGGTATTAAAATATAATAAAATTAATGGTTTAAATACTAATGGTGTTGAGTTTTTAACGACAAAGTATTAAAATGAAAAAAAATTAAACGTTAGATATGATTTTAAAAAATTATAATTTAAACACTAAAATGAATTAAAATCGATAGTTTAGGTACTAAATATATAGTGTATTCATAAATATAAGGCGATTAACCTATTAAAAATTAATGAGTTGCATGAACCAAATGACATCGGTTGTAAATAAATTATTGTTATTCATAAATATAAAGTAAGAATACTATTACATAATCACCTTAACTTAATAAAAAAAAATGGTTGTCCATTGTTCTCATGTGTAATGGGGGTAAGGAGGAGGTAAGATAGTAGGCTGCCCCCAACACCAGGTTGAGAGCAGCTTCCGTAGAAGACCTCCGAATTATGAAATGTCCTCCGTGGGACTCAATCCCACGACCTCAAGGTTAAAAACCTTGTGCTCTACCAACTGAGCTGGATAATACTTTATTCTTTTTAAGTCTTTGAGATTTAAAATTCATCCTATCGAATCATTCTTCATGTATTTCATATGAATTTAATGTCATTTATAAGAATGAGGTGGTTTCATCTAGATTCTTTAAATTTTTCGATCTTAGTGGAAAGGTTTTATAGTGACTTTTAAAATTAATGTCAGATGTAGGAGTATAATTGCTATTTGGAATTCAACGTGCTTAATAAATACAATAGGATAACATTATATTTGGCTATAATAAACTATTAGTTTTAAATCGTTTTAGTATCTAAACTTATTCTTTTTTTAAAATTATATGTAACATTTAGTTTTTGTTTTATTTTAAATTTAATTTTTTATTCTTAATTGCATATAGGAATAGAGTTTTGTTGTTGTTGTTATTGTATCAAATTAGGAATATGGAGGTAGTTGAGTGATAAACGATGCAATTTACTTATAAAAATACTTAACGGAAAGGTATTAAAATAAAAGAAAAATTAAAAGTTAAATATAATTTTGAACAAATAAGAAAGTTTTAAATATTAAATAAACTAAAATTAATAATTGAGGTATTAAATACGAAATTTACCCAAGTTTGATAGTTTGAATAACTAAAATTCAGTAATTATAAAAAGACTATTTTGTTCGAATTGGGGGAGAATTCTAAAATTCTTAAATTACCAAAATCATGGCCGACGGCGTCACCGATCCGAATCAGCGCAAAGAAAACCGGTCAAGCAACTCACCGCCGACGCGCTTCCGCGTGAATTCAACTCGCCGATCGGCTTCGAGAGGAGACCGACAAAGCGGGCAGTTGAAATTGAAATGATGAAGCCAACCATCAAAGCACTCCTTATGAAACACGTGGCAACAATCGAGCTCCCTCACCTGCTCCCCATCTCTTAGCCTACACAAGCACACCACACAATCACAAAACCCTCCGCCGCAATAGTATCCGTACGACAAAACCCTGTTCAAATTGAGCTGCTCCGCCAGTACGACGAGGCTAGCCAGGCCTGAACCCACGGCTCCCGTCCCGAAGTCGTCAGCAGTAGCGGCCCGGAAGGTGGAATGGAAAAGATCGAAAAGGAGGCTTCGGAGATAGCCGAAGCAGTCGGCGATCAGTGCAAGGATGAGAAGCGGGATTGAATCCGACGAGACGTCGTTGAGCTGGCCCTGTAATCCCATTCGTTTGACTGAATATTTTGTCCGCAAATTTGAGAAAAACGAGAGGTTTTGCGAGGAGGAAAAAGAATGGAAGAGAAGAGGGTTTTATGTTGTTAATATTTGTACAGCGACAAGAAGGAGAAGAGAAAGTCTGAGCTAAAAAGCTGGGGATGAAAGCCATGTGGGTTCTTTCTCATTTAGCGTGTTGGGTGACGTGGCTAAATGAGGTGGCATCTCAAATATTGCTTCTAAATTACTTTTTTGACTCCAATTTTTGAATTTATTTATTTTTGTTTAAAATAGGATATTACAATTTTTTAGTGGATTATTTATTTTATTTTTTCAATTTTGTTATTAGTTTGATATATTTATAATATAATATATATTATTTTTTATTAATTTGAAATACTTTTAAACTATTAACGTGGAATTTAATTCGTTTTTATATTTAATGTTAATTTTTTCAAAAATAACTTTGAAAAATATTAAAAACAACTTATTGTTACATATATTACGTATTTTCATTTGAACTTTAAAATCTGAAATTTAAGATTTTGGTACGAATTTAACCATTTTTTTTTGGATTTGCCAAAATGACCAACAAATTCGTAACGTGAATTCTAATTTCACAACTCAGTTTCCAATTTCACAACGCGAATATGTAAATCGCAACTGAATTTCAAATTCGCAACATGTTTTAATTTCGCAACACAAATGTTTTGGGTATATAACAACGCAGCAGCAGCAACTCATAACCTAAATCCCTAAATCGTAACTTTTCCATCTATCACTCTCTCCAGCAACATTCATTCATATATCTAACGGCATCCTTCCCCATCTCTAATTTTTTTTACATAATTTTATTTCTATATAATTTTTCAATGATTTCTCTCCCAAATTATCAACTATCAACTTAATAAAGGTATGTTTTTCTCTAAGTTAGTGATGATATCTAGTTTATAGCTCGTTTGTTTAGTAAATTAATTTACAATTTTTAGAATGAAATCATCTAATGTTGATCATGTTTGGATATATTTGTGTTTTGGAGGGTCATGGGAGAATGTTCATGGTGTTTTACAATATGTACCTTTACCCATGAATCTTCAACTAAAACTGTCATTAAAAAAGTTAACTTATGAAACTCTAATGTTACGTGTTGCAAAGAAATTGAATTTAGAACCTCTAAGTGGATTTAGGCTATATTATCTGAGAAAATGTAAACTTTATTTGTTAACCGACAATGAAGATGTTAAACGATTCATTGCTTACATTAGTGTTTCGCAAGAAGATGATGTTACATTATATGTTGTTGAACCTAGAAGTAGTGAAGTTGGGTCAGTAGCGGGTAGTAATCAACTAAGTTTTTCAACCCAAAATTTAATGGTTCCACCACAATTTCATCACCAAGCAAATTTTGTTTCACCACATTTCCAATACCAAACACAATATCAAACACAATCTCAAAACCCACAACCTTTTCCTAATCCAAATCCCAATCAACTTTCAGCACCAAATTTTGATTTTTGTATTGACCAGTTAGACGATTATGAGCCAATAGAAAAAATTGTTAGTACTAGTCAGTATTCGAAATTTGATCTTGGTCAATACCCGGACTTTGATCTTGGTCAATACTCGGATTTTGATGATGTGATGGAAGAAGAAACAGACCCTGCATGTAATGATTTTGATATTGGTCAATACCCAAATTTTGATGATGAAACAGCCGTTGCCGAGGAAGATGTTGTTGATGATAATGAGGAGAAAGTTATGACTGTGAATGAACATGTTGAACATCCATTCTGTAATTCATATAACCCTGAAGAAAAAAAAGAAGAAGAAGAAGTCCCCGAAGAAAGGAAAAAGAATAAAATACCACGGGAGTATAACTGGAATATGCCAGAATTACTTCAGATACCGGAAGAAGAGTTGGTAAAGATATCAGTTGATTGTTACACAAAAGTTATTCGTATCAAGAAAGATGATTGTTTTGATACAAAGGAAGACTTGAAGATAGCTTTGTATACGAAATGTGTGGAAGATGGCTATCAACTAAGAGTTAACAAATCAAGTAAAGATCTATTCGAAACAAGGTGTATGATTGACAAAAACTGTACGTGGCGTATGATTGCAAAAAGGATTAAAGATTGCGAAATATTTCAAGTTAGGACTTTTATTGATAAACATACATGTTCAAGAACCCAAGTTTTTCCTCACCATAGACAGACAAACAAAAAGGTATTGGGAGGTTTTCTGGCTGAGTTAATGTTTTTGAATGGAAGGGTATATCGGGGACATGAAATTATGATTGACATGAATGCTCGGTTCAAGATTAGTATCTCATATTCTCAAGCTTAGAGAGCCAAATGTTATGCCTTGGAATTGTTGAGGGGGTCGCCAGAAGCATCGTTTGCCCAACTGCCGGCTTATTGTCACAATTTAAAGCTGAAAAATCCTGGGTCGGTAACTCATATCAAAACAGATAGAGATGGACGCTTTGAGTTGTTGTTTATCGCCATTGGTACTGCAGTTAGTAAATAATTATAATTTTGTTGACTCATTTTTGTTAGTTGCATGCATTTCACATTTAAATGATTATATTTCTTGTGTATATGATTTTTTAGATTCGTTCGTTTATTACTTGCATGCGCCCAGTTATTATAGTTGATGGAGCACATTTGAAAGGTCAATACCTTAGAGTAAACTTATTAGCAATAGCCATGGATGCTAACAATGGGATACTGCCAATAGCTTATGGGGTTGGTAAATCTGAAACCTCTGACTCATGGACATGGTTTATGGGGTATCTTAGGGATTGCATATGTCCTATTAGCAATCTGACAATCATATTCGATAGGGCAAACTCAATTGACAACGCTGTTAAAAAGTGTTTCCCAGATGCTTTTCATGGACTTTGTGGTGTTCATTTGTACAGAAATCTAAAATCAAGGTATGCTGGTATAAAAAATCACAAATGGACATGCTGGAAGGCTGTAAAAGCTTATCGGGAAGTGGATTTTAATAAGCATATAAATTGTTTAAGACGTGTTTTGCCTCAATGTGCTCAAACACTAGAAGATGTCGGGTTTGAAGGATGGTCAAGAGTACATCAACTTGGAGCAAGATATGGTTTCATGATGTCTAATAGTGCAGAATCAATCAACGCTCTAAGTCTTCATTCCCGGAAATTACCCATTACTATGTTAATGGAGTTTTTTCGAGCCTTAATTCAATAGTGGTACTACAAGAAAAGAAACCATGCAAGTATTATTTCTTTAAATTCGTAACTTACCATATATTTTACTAAGTATTATTTATTTAAATTTACAGGAACATTGGAACGTCGTGTTACACCATGGACTCAAAAAAAGATAACGAAACGTGTTGTGAAGTCAACGTCCTGGAGAGTTGAACCATGTTCAAACACTTTGTTTGAAGTATTGGATAATAATTTAAATGGGCTTGTCGATCTAAATGCAAAGTCGTGTAGTTGTAAGAAATGACAAACATCTGGTTATCCGTGTGGCCATGTTATAAAAGTTGCTCTTCATCTAAACCAATATGATTCAAGCGCATACGCTATGGATTGCTACTCTACAGAAGTATATCGACAGACTTATGCCGAGATTGTCTACCCATGTCCACATCCTTCTGAGTGTGACATACCATATGACTTACAAACAATTTTGCCACCAGTTATTGACAGCAGGCTACCTGGTCGACCAAAAAATCACGATCGTATATCGTCTAAGGTTGAAGAGAAGAGGATATCGACATGTAGTCGGTGCAAGGAAAGTGGTCATACAAGGTTGACATGTGAATCACCAGTACCATCACAATCATCTTTTCCTCTACCAAAAAATGGATCCTCATCAAAATCCAAAGCTCATATGGTGCCAAGCAAAAGGAAATCAAAATCGCAATCAAAATCAAAATCCCAATCACAACCGGCTTCACCTTTTGGGACTTATTAACTTAGGTGATTTTTAAATGCAAACGTTGTATTATGTGTATTTTATGTGTGAATGCATACATTTTCAGTTATACATTCATTAGTAACTTGAGTTTGAACATTACTATGATCTGTTCAGTTGTTATCATTTTTGGGATTTTCTCTTGTGTTTGATTGCTTGGATAGTTGTTCTCTTGCTTCTTCATGTGTCCTTAGCTTGTATTTATAGCTTGTAATGTGTTTGATGTTATATATACGATGTTGTATGTTGCGATCAATGCGAAAGTCAAATTCGTAACGCGAAATAAGGGTTGCGAATTTGACTATCGCGTTGCGAATTTGACTATCGCAACGCTTATTTCGCGTTGCGAATTTACCTTCAACAGGTCTTTTTTACCTTCAACATTATGCAAATTGAAAATTAAACAACAAATCAATTAAACATTATTGTGGGTACATTATTTGAACATTGTTATGGGTATATTATTTGGAAAAATAATATTCTGGACTTCGTTAGAAATAACCCTTTTTCATCGGATTAATTTTGTTTTTGTGGGTACATTATTTGAACATTGTTATGTATAAATTTGTTGTGTATGTATGTTTTGGTTTGATTATATTGTATGTATATTTTCATTCAGATGAGATGGGCTGTGTATAACAAAACAATCTATCTCTTCCATGTGAGTACTTTATTCCAACCATGTGACAAGTGTGACAACCCATCAACTCACAACTCAGCTTTGAACTCAATCAATATTGTCTTTTAGCTTGATGGTTCATAAAGCATGTTACTTGAACAGTATGAATCAATTATGCAATTTTCATGTTCAATTTAACACTGCATTTCAAATTCATTTCATATGTAATTGGAGTTTGAATTTAAATTTCAATTTGAGTTTGAATTTCAATATAAATTTCGGCTCCACTATAAAATATTAGCCCTAGCCAATATGCATGTTATCATTGATTATTCATAATTTCCATTATTTTTTTAACTTTAAACGCGAGGGAAATCCCGACCATCGTATTTTTTGGTCAACTTTAAAGCGTCAGAAACATTTTGGGCGTATGATTTGGGTGGTATACGAGAAATGCAACAAATGGAAACTAAAAATCCCGATAATTGAGGGCTACAACCTGTA